AGAAAGTATATGTGCTTTTTTCCCTCTTTTCTTCTTTTTTTCCTTTTTCTTTTCTTCTTCTGATGGTGGGGATTAAACTCAGCACATTTTTCTGGCTAGGCAGGTGCAGCACTATTGAGCTAAATCTCAGGCTTTACATTTCATATTTTTAAAATTTATCAATACATTAATCCTTGTCTCTATATGTTGGTCTGCCAAACTGATGAGTTACTTTGGTTCTCATTTTCTTTGCTTTTTTATTTGAGAATTTATGAAATCTGTATATATGAGTAGTAGGAAAAGTATTAAGGCCCATCTGTCATTTTCCTCTTTCATCTCTGCTTTCTGAAAACTTCCTTTTCTGTCACTACAGCTTGTTTGGTTGGAAATTTGTTAAGATAAATGTTGTTATGTTATCAATATATTTTGTACTTATTTTCTACTGATGACATATATTAATTTTTAAGTAAATTTTATTATAACTATACTTAATCATTAATATCATTTAGTATCTGATTCATATTACAAATTCTCCAACTCCTTCAAAGATGATATTTGTTTTTTCTCAAATTATACAAATCATCAACATTCCACACATCACTGCACTATGTTATTATACCTAAGTATACATTGTATTGTAGAAAATATGCATTGTGTATATGTATGGGGGTATGTTTTTACATATATGTGTGCACTATTAAATGAGAAACATGGGCATGAATGTGGTAGGATTGTGCACATTTGGCATATTGATAGTTTCTCTGGCAACCTTATGATTTCTTTAAATTACATGCTTGACTTCATAGTCATTCGTTTGGGAAGAATATTACATATCTCTTGGTGTTAAATTCTATCATTATGCTTATGAAAATATAATAAAAATAAGTATGGGATATAATAAAATAGAAACAGAAAAATCTAATCTTAAAAATGTGAATATTTTTAGTCGCTTTTGGATTTCAAATATAAGTATATTTTTTTCTGTGGGAAGTTTTGTTAGAAAATGTAAGTGGTACAATCAACAAGTATATGATATTTATCAATTAATTAAACCAAGGAGTTTATAAATCATAAAATTTTGAGGACAATTTCTCAACTAAATATGTGACTCTTCTATTTATAATTACATTATTTCAAAAATCTAAGAAAATGAGAAAGAACATGTTTGAAGATCATATCAAACTAATGTATTTCAATTAGTCTGTGTTACATAAATTCTTGTTTATTTCATATCCTTTTTTGCTGTCATATATATGTATATTTGAAATTTTTATTTAGTATCTTCATTTCTTGTTATCATGTATCTTTGCAATCTTTAATAAAAAAAATAAGAGAAAACAAAAAAGTAGCTGCGCATATAACATTCATAGGTCTTACTTTTCCATCAAACAATGACAAATGCAGAGGCAGGCGGTCTACTGCTGGCACATTGCACATAAATGTCAGTGGTGACTTTAGGTCTTTGTATTCTGTTCAGCAGTCCTTTATGTGTGTATGACTCATCTTAGTTTCAGAAAGGCTGCAGGAGCACTAGCTATCACATTCTTGTAATAATGAGAAAACATGGAGAAAAAAGGATTTTGACCCTTTTAAAGAGCTTTATAGGCTCAGACTCCTTCAAAAGACTATGTCATGTACCCACCTTGTTTATAAAGGGTTTGGGAAATTTAGTTTTCAGTTGGGAGTTTTACTGCCCTAAAGAAAATTAGTGTCTTTTAGAAAAGAGGAAGGTAGAGTGGACATTGTGTAGAGAACTCTCATTGTTTGCCCCTTTTGTGATAATGGATTGCCTAACCTCTCTAAGTTTACTCATCTATAAAATGGCAATTAGATGGGGTCAAATATGGAATATACTTAGCAAAGTACCAAGAATATAGAACATAGAAAGTGCTAAGAAATATATTCTGTTTATCTTAGTCATTGTTTTGTTGTTAGGAGAAAATATTCCCCAAACCACAACTTAAAGGGAAAAGTTTATTTGGGCTCACAGTTTTTAGAGGTTCCAGCCTATCATTGGTTGGTTCCAAGGCAGAATCGCAGTATCAAAGGAGCACTGGGAAAGAAAGCTGATCAGAACCAGGAAGCAGAGTGAAGGAGGGGGCAGGATGGGAGATAATAGCTTTCCAAGTGACACGCCTAGTGACCCACCTCCAACCAGGCTCCACATCCTGAGAGTAGTCCAGCTACAGATCCACCAGGATCCATCACCTTCCAAACATAGGAGGCTTTTGGGGGACACCCCAGAGCTAAACTGTAACACCATCCAAAATATGGAACATATTGGAAAGTGTAATAGGATATGGAAAGTTCCCTACTATCCCTGGGGTAGGAGTGAAAACTATTGTGAAGAGCAGGCAAGAAGTTACTAAATTTGGAAAATATGCATTTGACTTCCTGTCAGTCTACATGGTGGATGATGAACCTTCTGAGGTGTGCTGGAAATTTTTGTTCTTTAAGAGAGCTGTGTGATTTTTTTTAATGGACTTGAGAGAATTAAAGTGGACATTCGGTTCACATCAGTTCTTCCTAGAAGTCTTCTCTGAACCATTAGCTGAGCTAAGGGTGGCTCTGGGAAATCCTCTTTCTTTGTCTGTCTCTCCTTTGTTAGGAGCCACTGAGGATGAAAATTGTATCTTGTCCACCTTTTTTCCCCAAGGCCCAGCACAGTAGAAGTAGCATGATCAGCAGTCATAAATGCATACTGCATTGTAAGTCATTGCTTTGGGTTCACTCTTTTCTATGTCTTCCATGGCCAGATCAGAATGTAAGACCTCCATCCCCAAAAGGCTCTTCTGTAAGGAGAGTTCTCTGAAAAGCAAGGCAGTCATTTCAGTTTCTTTAGGCTCCGCTACAGGGAAGGCTCAGGGCTCTGAAAAATCTTCAAGCTATAATGATGAAAGTTACTGGGTGCCAAGATGGACAGTGATGTTGACATATTGGGGAATTATGCCCCTTTTCTTGAGGGAATTAACATTGTGCAGGGGATTCAGACTGGACCCAGAGGCAGATATCCTTGGATCCAAGTTTTAATTGGTTCTGAGTTTGGTTACAGTTCTCTTAAGTCTCTCAAATTTCAGAGCCTCTGATTATTTATCTTTGAAGTTGAGGAGATAATTTGCCTTTCTTTATTCCCTTTTGGGGTTGTGATGAGTGGCTGAGGAACAAATGGATGGAAAGAGCTTTGCATTGAGTATGAGAGACTTTCCTGGCCATGACTTTGAACTCTTGAAACTGCTATTGGTGCCTTTGCTATCTAACTAACTGGGTGTCACATTTTGCCAGAGCCGCTATAGTAGAGCACTACAAACTGGGTGGCTGAAGCAATAGAAATTTGTAGTGTTAGTCTCAGTTCTGGGGACTTGGATTCTGAAATCAAGGAGTTGTTGATAAGGTTAGTTTTTCTCTGAGGATGTAAATAAGGATCTGTCTTTGCCTTTCTCCTAAATCCTGGTGGTTTGCTGGCCATTTTTAGTGTTCCTGGGCTTCACCTGGATCCACCTTCATCTTTATTTGGTGGTCTTGAATAAACTTGTGTTTCTGTGTCCAATTTCCCCCTATCCTTGTTGGCACCAGTCACACTGAATTAAGGTCTACCCTAATGGTCTCATTTTAACTAGATCATCTCTGTAAAGACCCTAACTCCAAATGAAATCACATGGTAATATATGGGGAAGTTAGAATCATAACATGTGTTTTGAGGGGACAAAATTCAAATCACAACACTGAGAATAGTGAAGGATCAGTGAATAAATCAATAGATTACCTTGGGCTGAAGAAAGAAGTCTGAGTGTCAGGTGCATTTAGTTTATGGTGAACTGGCCACCATCATACTTTCTAACTCCAGTTTCAGTCCTTTGTTACTTTCTGATCGACCTAATTTTTCTGGCAGTCAGTTTTCTCATGAATAAAATGGGTAGAGAAACAACTGTTTCACAAGGTTGTTTAGTGTATCACAAGGGACAACATGTGTTCAATGCCTTCTGCAGAGGGTGGCCCAATGAAATGCCTCTTGGCAACCATTCCCTTTCCTCACAGCAGCATTAGATAAAGTTGGAGACCAGGAAAGGGGTAGTAGTAGTGAGCACTATCATCATAAAACAGTTATACTAACTTGTCTAGTGCAATTGTTTTTGCAAAGAGCTATTTGAGATAGAAGCTTTGGAATTGGAAAGTGAGCAGTCATAAAAGCTTTTTAAATTGACAGGAGACGAGCTCCTTGATAATCCATCCTTATAAATTGCCTATCTTGGATACTCCCCGCTCTTTTTCTGGTGATTTCATCAATAATAGCTTCTATTAGGTTTCTAGGTTTCCTTTTTTTTTAAAGGAATACATGATTTATAAATAAAATATTCTCCCAGATTCTGATTGTGACCTTGAGTCTACATGAGATTCAATTTTTTTATTCTAATACTTTGCACTTTTGTGGTATATGTTCAAAATACAGTAATGCTCTAGTTCATGAATGCCTCTGTTTGCGAACAGTTTGGTTTGTGAACAGAAGCATTGGGCAAAATTTTGCTTCTGGCTGTGAATGCTGTATTGGGTGACAAACACAGTTGTGGTCATCTTCCCTGCAGGAATACGAACATGGCCATTTTCCTCAGAATCATGGAATGCATTAAGTTCATCAACCGAGGTACCACTGTGTATTGAAAATGGAAGCTTAACTAGGTGACCCTGCTACAGAGAGGTGGAAAATTACTTTGAAATCACATGATTTAATCTTTTCACTTTTCAGATAAGAAGCCCGAAGAACAGAGAAGCAAGGTTTTTTCTTTTATCCCATAGGCAGAACCTAGGCTAGAATCTGGGCCTCTGATTTCAAGCTCCTCTATTTTATGCTCTAGACTGATTAGTGTTTTAGGCGCAGCCCTTCTGCTTCCTTGGTTTCAGTCCTTATTTAGTAGAGGGGCTGGGTCAGCAGTCTGCTCTGGCACTTCTTCACAGAGCTGTAGCTAGAGGCTGCTCTGGTTCACCACGCTTATCAGATCAGCACCCTTTCCTTCTCTACCTTACAGACTGAGATCCAAGGCAATGGGCCACCCATCAAAGCAGAATCCCGACCCAACTTTTGGTGGAGATTGGGGAATGGCCTTCAATTCCATCCAGAATCCAGCAACTCCAGGAGAGGTGGTTCACTGTGATAAACAACACTGGAAAAAATTAAGAGGCAAAAGTTATATGAGAATAGCTGCTGTGTTGTCCCCTCTCTTACAAAAGTAGTGACCTTAGCCAGGTTCAATGGACCCAAACTAAGCCAAGTTATACCATCTCAATAGCTTTATTAATCATGATAGCAAGCAGATCTAAATTGGAAGGTTGTTATGAGATAATGCAGGCACCTATAGGAGGCCTGGAGAATGATAAATAATTTAGGAGTGACTATAGTAGCATACTAGTAAAAATATTTTATGTAAGAAAGCTGAAGGGGTCAGTAACTTTTAACTTGCTCTAGATATACTAGAGGTTGTTTCCTCTTCTATAGTACACAAACATGCAAATATCCTAACAATTTGGGGGGCTTGTAACAGTCCTAAAACCCATAGATAAGCTTTAGGAATCTATATACTTCTGGAACTTTGATGAGGGAAGAAAAAAGCCCCCAAATTCTACATTAATTCAAAATCCAGTTAATAGTTACCCCAGGCCGAGCGTGGTGGTACACGCCTGTAATCCCAGCACTCGGGGAGCTGACGCAGGAGGATCGCTGTGAGTTCAAGACCAGCCTGAGCTACATAGTGAGTTCCAAGTCAGTCTCACTACATAGTGAGACTCTGTCTCAAAAAACAAAAAAATTAAAAAAAATAGTTACCCCAAAATGAGAAAGCGCCTTGTTATTATTCTATAAAATGAGAAGAACACTGAAATTCGCAGTTCTGACAATCTTTAAAGTCTGAAACTGAAAGACGAAGGAGTGGTCTCTTGACTTTCTGGACAGGCAGACCATGACCTGGAGTACTCCATTTATACAGGGATGGGGCTGCTCAAGTCCCTTTGCAAACAGAATTTATTCACTAGGGTACCCGTTATGGAGTTAAGAAAAGTCTGGTTTTCTAGTTGGCTCATTAGTTTGTTTTTCAAGGGCCTTAAGAAAACTCTGCTCTGAAGCTTCCTGGTTGTATTCAAGTGAGGGAATTGCTGCATCTGGCCATGTCTGTGTGTGCCAGAGCCATTCAATGAGATACTCTCTGGAATAAGTTGTGTTTTGAGGGCTAAAAAGGCAAAAGAGCTTCTATGTTTGTTTTGACCATGGGCTGCCATTTCTGGTTTTCACTCTTTTGGCTGCACACTCTCTTTGGCAATACTTTTGCTTCGGTTACTTTATTTACCACTCCCATAAAGGTTGTGAGGGGTATCTGACAGGGATTTTTACTGCTCTTTCACAGAAGTGCCTGAAGCACTGAGGGAAAGTGGCTTGCTTTGGGTCAAAAGGGAAAGAAATTTTATATTTCCTACTTTAAAATCCAGCCACTTTTCATGGGACAGAATTACCATCTACTTGCTTGGTTTAATATCGAAAGGGACTGTTCATACACAGTTGACTCTAGGGCAAAGTGGCCAAGAGGGACTGTGGGAAGTCAGAGATAGACATTCTTTTGACTGGCCGAAGGGGGGAGGTAAGAAAAGTCTTCAAGCAGGGGAATATATTGGTTTACATTATTCATTTCCCCAGTAGAGACTGTGGAAACATAACTGGGCCATCACCTCAGGAAGAGTTACAACTGATCCACGACTACCCCTAGCTGTCACTGACTCATCCATGCAGCACACACAGCTAGTTTTCTGATGAAAAAATTTATTCATCAATGGAATAAATATTGATAAATGTTGATTGGATATGCCTCACAACCACCATTCTCATAATGGAGTAGAGGCTTTGAGGTAATAACGGTGATTCCAACTTACACACAGATGTATGTGTACACATTCATTTTTCCCTGTGGAGCCAAAATTTCTGTTCAGGCACCCATTTCTATGTGTATTAATTCCCTGGAATCACCATTACATAGTACCACAAACCTTTTGCAGTTTGGAAATCCAGAAATTTGAAATCAAGATGGTGACAGAATCAGTACATATTAGAGACCGAGGAAGAATCAGGTTCTCCTCACTTTCCTAGCTTGTGTGATTTTCCTTTAATCCTTGACATTTGACCTGTAACACTCTAGCTTTTGCATCCATCTTCACATTGCCTTCTCTTATGTCTGTGTCTCAAACCTTTCTCTCCTCCCTTTGAGCCCACTCATCATTGGATTTACAGCCCCCTAAATCCAGGATAATCTCTTCTTGTGATCCTTAACTCAATGACCTGTGCGAAGATCCTGCTTTCAATTAAGTTTATATTCATAGATTAGGACTCAGATCTATCTTTCTGACTAGTCACTTTTTTAGTGATGATTTAACATTGCAACGTCTGGGAAGGACTTTGCTTCACATCTTTGCTTAGAGAAGATTTATATTTTCCAGGGTACATTAGTATATTGTCTGTAGCAGTAACACTATGGAAGAGATACTTATTTCAAAGAGGGGAACATTCCAGAGAAAGGAGGGGAAAAGTAACGTGGTTGAATTGAAAGAGCAGTAAAGCATAAGGCAAGCCTTTGCCCCCCCACACACCATGTTTCTTTCCTTAAAATGTTTTGCTCCAAAAATGTAACCATTTGGTGCTCTTGCCCAGAGTATAAAAATATTTTGTAACTATGTGAACTGCTAGGCCTTTCAAAAGTGTCCTGTTAACTCCACCCTTTCAGGAATGTTCTAAGAACTCTGCTGCTTCGCCTCTGTGAGCCCCCCATGTATGTATTTCAGGAACGTTCTGTAACTCCACCCGCTGCATCAGTGAGCCTGCTCGCCTACCCTGTATAAGGATGCTCCCAATTCTGCTCAGCCACTTGGACTTTGGATTAAAAACTCCTCTGAGTGCACCTGCATAATAAAAGGTTTTTCTCCATGTCTTTGAGTGACTCTCCAGTCTTCCAATTGCTATAGCAGTAGCACAGAGCTGTAACACAGAGCTGTGACACTGAGCTGTTCCACTTTGCCACAACAGAATAAACAAAGATGGTGGATGAGAAATACATCATAAACATTCTACACATAACATCAATGTAAAGGCTACTCCTGTAGATTTATCCCTCATGTACACAGTGCTCTGAACATTTGCAAGACCAGTGTGACTATACATATCCAAATTCTCAATGTTGTCTATTATACAAAGGCTCATGATTGCTCTTACATGAAGTACCTGGAGTTATTTTTCTTAAGATGTCTTAAGTAAAAGATTTTTTTGTTACACTGTGGAAATCTATGTGTAGTTCAGACAGTGTGTTCCCTCAAGCCTCAATTTTCCAAATGGGACAAGGCATTTGAATTATATTGAGTAATAGAGAGCTTGTGTAAGTGGGTTGTGCATAATAAGGAAGACAGGGAACTACACTAAAACTATGTTTGGGGATGTGGAAGAGTCAGGATTTAGAGAATCAAATTTGACTGGGAGCACTTCATATTATTGTAGTTTCTGTAGATATTTTTCTTGACAAAAGATATAAAAGGAAAAGTATAAATTCAGCTAAATGGCTTTCATTGGTTTACATATTTAGGTTGATGGACTTTTGTTTATTATTTGCCCAGGATAAAACAGAAAAACAAGTCCAACAATAATTTAGATTAGGATAATAGCTTCAATTTTTTAAAAGATAAAAATGGTGCAGAGGTTTCTTGGTTAAATAATAAATATTATAATAAGTGAAATGCTTGCACTTCTTTCTTTTTGCACTTTTTAAAATCTGGTTGTTGGAAGATAGGTTTATTAAATAGTTTTTCAACTTCTTAAATTACCATATGATCTGTGGTGGTCTCAGAAAAGATATGTGGAGCCTAATGCTTTGTGAAGGTTTTTCTCTAGGGCAAACCACTTCTGGATACCAGTTGACTTCCTGCCTCTGAGGACAACATTTTAAAAAGTAGGTAGCAGCCATAACACTTGACCAGCATCTTCTGTCCTTTCTTTAAAGGATGTTGCATTTCCCTAATGGGATCTGACATGTTTTCACGACATATAAAACATTCAGGTGGGAAACCCTGTTGTTTTGCTTTATCCAAGGACAGTTTCATACCTTATGTTTTTCCTTGTCAGCTTAAATTAGCATTAAACGGGGACACATCTTGTGCATCGTATGAGACCACATAGTGTAATAGAGAGGACACTGGAGCAACATTCAAAAACTGGGCTTCAGTGCAGATTTTGCCATGCTAGCTATGTAAACTTGTGCAAATCAATAAAACTTAGTAGATATTTATTTAGCACTTAGGATATACCAGCCCTGTGAAATAGAAAAGGGGGTGTGGAAGAAAGGGAGAGAGAAAGGGAGGCAAGGAGGAAGGGAGAGAGGGGGAGAGAGAAAGAGAGAGAGGGGGACTTAGGCATGGATCCAGAGAACAGTGAGACATTAAGTACATGCATAAATAGTTCTGATACATAGACTTCTTCCATAAGGCAGGACAAGGCAATAAAGGTATAGAGAGAATAATTACTTATGTTTGGAGTTTGGGGTGCTCGGGGAGCTTTAATGGAGAAGGTTGATCCACAAGCTGAGGCTTGAATTTGGTATGGGATCTGACTTTGTGTCAGTGAGTGTGTTGAGTGGGCAGGTGGTGCAGGCGGAATGAACGATACGATCAGACTCATGAAGGGTAAAGCACATGGCACTGCGGAGAATGGTTAGGCATCCGGTAACTCAGCACATTCATGGGCAAACATGGACAGAGCACAGGAGAGAGAAAACGGAAGCTTGGGAGATACTGAACTCAGAACAGAAAGATTTAAATTCTTTACTGAGGTTAATGGAGGAAGGGGACGGGGGAGGAAGAGAGGATAGAGGAAGAGGAAAGGGCAGAAGGAGAAGAAAAGAGAGGAAGTAAAGCAGGAAGAAAAGGAGAAAGGGAGGAATAAGCAAATAAACAAGGGAGGGAGGAACGGAGGGAGGGAAGGAAGGAAGGAGGAACGGGAAGGAAAGGAGATAGAGAGAAAGCTAAACAGAGCCAGCACACATCTCTGTCCAGCTCCTCAGTTTGGTCAGGGAGCAAATGGGACAATGCTCTCTGATGGAGCCCTGTCTTGTCACATGAAACAGTACGATTCAAAGGCCTAGTAGATTGTAGAGGTCTAGAGTTTCAGCCCACATGACTATGACATGTGTCAAGAGAGATTACACATATTTACATTTGTGTAAATCCATCCAATGTCTATATAGACTCTTCTGTATACCACAGTAACGAGGTAATGAGCAAAGTATAAAAATGGTATTCATGACATGGGTCTGAACTTTGTGGTTTACAAACTCGTGAAACTACACTGCTATCAAAAGGCGTAGACATTCCTCCCATTACATAGCCAAGTAACCAAGAAGAAAGGGGCAGAGATGATCAAGCTTAGACTCCCTTTCAGATTGGGAGGTGGAGAGCATGGTAAAATTGCCCCAAAACTGCAAAATTTTTTTCCATTAAGTTTATTGGTACATTTTAGGAATACAATATAGTTACATTCATCATTGGGATCTTGTATCTTTACATGATGCATCTTGGTTTTATTTTTTCCCCATTCCCCTGCCCTCCCTTCACCCCCTCCACCCTTCCCTATTTACAAAGTCATTGTTTCCATGTTTTTCCATTTCTCATATTTTCTCTTTTCCCTTCTTTCCTTTCCCCACCCCTCCCACTTCCCCTACTCCTTTAGACATTTTTCCAAAACCACCAAATTTTGATGCTATCAGGTGCCTCAAGTTGGCATAATGTTTTAAAAAATTCTTTAACTGGTAAGTTTCATTAGAAATGCATTACCTAATGAGATAGCTGTGACTTTCACATTTTTCCTAATCCATTTATGTATTCATAATTTTATATAACATTATTGGAATTTTACATAACATTATTAGAACATTATTGGAACAGGTGTCAAAATGGGAAAAATGCTTTAATTCAGTCTTGAACAGAATACTATTAAGCAGAATATTAATCTGAGTTTCATGGTCAGCCCAAGATAGGATCCTTGAAAGAATTACTTTCTTCCTCTTGGTTCATGATACTTTATTTCTGAAATAAAAGGATTAATCTGATTTTTTAAAAAGTCTTCCATTTTTTGTTCTCTGTATGAGTTTAAATATAATATATGACAATTTCTAGTCAAACCATCATCATCCAAATTTTTATCTACCTGTTATTAGATACTTAAATAGAATGAATTTTCCTTTGTTTAAAATAGAATTAATGCATGCATAGAATTTTAAAATATTCAAACAGTGCAGAAGAACAAAAATAAAAGTAAAATCATCCTCACTTCATCACCAACCCCTCTCCCTGGAGACAGTCACTGTCAGTATTCCCTCTTCTTAGTTTTTCTAGTATTGTTATAATTTTATATAACATACTTGGATCCCACTTTCTGGTTTATAGAATCTTGGCAGGAGCCATTATTTCCCAGGTATGAGGACTGAGCAATTATTTACATTGCTACCCACTTTTTCCTTTCCCTTCCACTTCCCAATTATTAGCTTGATTATTTTTGGATCTTTGATGTTTGGATCCACGAACTTAGGTAGTATAACTAAATACTATTTCATGATGGATAGAACCATGTGATATTTAAGCCTGTGTATCTGATTTATTTCACTCAACGTGGTATCCAGGTGCATCCATTATTATACAAATGACTCAAGTTTATCCTTCTTTATGGCAGAGGAGTACTCAATTGTGTGTTAATACCACATTTTACTTATCCATTCATCCACTGATGGACAGACAAGAGGCTTCCACGATGTTGCTATTATGAGAGTTGTGCTGCTACAGAAATGGGTACGCATGTACCACAGTAATACGATGCCTTTCAGGAAGATACCTAGAAGGGGAAATAGCTGAGTGAAAATGAAATTTGCACTTTTAGTTTTTTGTTTTTTTGGTGGCATCTACACACTGATTTCCATAGGGGTTACAGTAGTTTGCATTTCCCACCAAGAATGTAGAAGAGTCCCTTCCCCCTGCACCCTCACTGGCATTTGTCATTGGATTTCCTGATGGCCATTCTTTTTGGGGGTAAGATAGAATCTCAGGGTTGTTTTGATTTGCATTTCTCTAATGGCCAGGGCTGTTGTGCATTTCCCTTTCTACTTCTCTGCAGTGTAGATCCATTTCACCTGGAGCCTTACCTTTGTCCTTGCATCTTTCCATTTGTCACTTTGTCGGGATGTATGGGTATTACAGTGAGGTCATCACTCATGTAACCTTGTGAAGCAAGCTTGCCAGTTAGGACAACTGGCCTCTTGATACTTGCTACACAGCTATGCAGAGCAGCAACCCTCAAAGAAAGGACAGTAATATTCTCAGGACAGGGGCAAGCTGAGCGATAAAAGATCTGTCCCTTCACCCTTCTTAATATGTGGAAAATAGAAATGACACACATATTAACTTACTGTGTAGTTCCTAAGTTCTGCTCCAAAGTCACAGAGTAAGAAGAAATCGTTTAAATTTTTGTCTGGGCAATGAATTTGGATGCTTTCAAGAACTCCATTCTGTCTGATCCGACACATATATAAAACTAAAACAAAACGTAGCTTTCTGAAGTGTACTTGCAGGATGTACCAGACAATGATATAAATTGGAAGGGGGAGAAAAAAGTAGAACCACAGAGTTTCAGAACTGGGGAGAATTTTCCAGTCATAATCAGATTCATGTTTTACAAGTAAGGAAACTGAGACCCTGAGGGGATGGGAATTTACTCAAGGTCAGGAGAGTGGAATTAGATTCTAGGATTCCTAAGACTTTTTCACAATTTTTTATTTCATTCATAATCAGTTCTCTTCACAGTCTTGTGAGCTTTCTAGTAGGTAATGAAGAGAGAAAAGTTTCCTGTGACAGGAAT